TCTATTCATACTTATTTCTCTATATTTATTTTGTCATTGTGCGTCAGGGCCCAGCAGGGTCCAGGGTGAAGCAAAGTGGTCGTCTACAGCACAGGAGGTGCTGAGAGTGAGATCCTCTTCACAAGCCTCTGGGTTCCTGCCTCACCCTAGACCTGACCTTGCTGTGCCCTCTGTGAACCTTCAGTTTATCCATTCTCTACAGTGTTTCTTACTTTCTCCTACTGTATTTCTTAATTGTTTTTGTGACCTGTGAATGCCCTTTCTATAGCAATTTTGTCTTTATGTTTTCTCCGTCTTATGCACTCTCATCATTACTGAAGTTCTACTCTTGTGACTGTATCCACCACACTGAGTCCCTCCACCTGCCTGTTCCCCTCCACACTCATCCATGGCAGACATTCAGTCTTACCTGCTGGCTCATTCTGCTGGGGACATATTGTTCATTTGCTTGTTGGCTTTCTAGGGCATCGTTGCTGCCAGTGGTTGTATCAACAATCACACTTATCTCTTCTTCAAACATGTCATTTGAGAGTCCATTATCAGATGTGGCTGTACCTAGACCACATTTTGATTCATAGATATTTAATTTGTTTCCTCCATCAATCAGGGTCCAGCAGGAAAATACAATAAGAAGCTGTCTAAACTTTAGAGCAGAGGGAATTTAGTCCAGATGATTAGTTATACAGCTGATGGAAGAGCCAAGAAGCCCAAATGGAAGAATGTGGCAGCTTTCAAATGGTCAAGAGCAAGGTATGTGAAGGACTAAGGGTGAGGTCTGTACCAAGGGCATATCCCAAGGTCACTGGGTGGGGACAAGCTGACTATGGCTGGCCTGCTTGGTGGGAAGTGGTGTCATGGGGAAGATGCAGCTACTGCCAGAGTTGAGGCCTGAGAAAGTGACAGCAATATATACCGGCTTCTCCCTTGCTCCCATCCTCTAATGTCTTGCTACTGTCTACCAGGTCAGGAACTCAGCTGGACGCAGTACAATGGAGCTGGCAAGCAAGTCTGCAGGGGTCTGTGGCCAGGGTTAGAGGGCAGAGCAGAGCAGGAAAAGATAAGGAATGAATCTGAGTAAACCTCCCAGGACCTGCACACCCCCTTCCCCACAGTGAACCTCCTCTGTGCATTATTGACTCCATTGACCCATCCCACTCTCTTCCCACCAACCCCAATTGTGTATGAATGGATAAACATTACTTTCATTGCAGCTTGGTTTTTTCTCATTTAGAACTATTTTTCTAAGCTAACTAATTTATAAAAAATATTATTTACTAAATTAATTCTCACAATTTTAACATAGAACTTGGGCCCTGGTGCATTCTAATGCAATATCCATAGTTCTTTGGAGCCCCCTCTGGAAGGAGGGGCACAAGACACAGCCCTTCCGGCCCTGTGCTTGTCACAGTCAACCTTCCTAGATGAGTCAGACTCTTGGACACATTTATTGGTGGTTTGTTTGCAATATTTGGGTCATTACTCCTCCCCACCACACCCCCTACACACACACACACACACACACACACACAGTGAAACCCTTTTTCTGCCCATTACTCACCACTGTTCCTTCCTCTCGCCCTCCTCTTCCCACCAGCTCACTGGTAGATAAAGTACTAAACTATGGATTGATGCATGTTGGATGTTTTATACTCTAAACATTTACTTTCTGAGTAAACATGACTTGCAGAAAAGTATAAAGGTGCTCTCAAAAATCATTCTGAAATTTTTTTTAATAAAAATGTGTTATTAATTTAAAAACATCCTTTCTTGAATAACACATCCCAGTGGAGGCTACATAATATGCCTTCCAGGGTGTTTTAGAGCAGCTCCAGGCCTGCAGCCCTGGAGTTGAAGGGAGAGGGTTTGCACAGATTCACATGGTGTCCATGGTCCTGTGTAAGGGACCCAACACATGAGAGATCCTGGCCCAGGAGGAACACTCATTATCCCTACCCCCCTCTTCTCACTGCAGTGCTGGCCACTGCTGGGTGTGACATCAAAGCAAGGCTGCAGCCAGTGTTAAGCGAGACAGAGGCAGAAGGCTTGTGAAACCAGGTGCACAAGCAATAGGTCCAGGCCAAGGATGGCAGGAGCTGGCAGCACATGCAGGAGGTAGGGAAGAGCCAGCCCTCCCAAAAACCAGGAAAAGGAAGACTGTTATCTAAATCTTTGGGGAAAATGCAGATGCAAAGAATGACTATTCTGGACAATCAGCACTAAAAAGAATCAGCCCCTACCCTTCACCCCCCATAGCACATGCCAGAATAAGACAAGAAAAACAATGATCATAAAACAGTTACTAGAAACACACCAGCATTATTCAGGGGGATGTGGGCCACTCCAAGGCAAGTTTGAGTTACTGTCAGTTCCTGGGGGAAGAAAGTAGAAATTTATTCCAGAAATTGAAGTGTGAGCTGTGCTGTTTTCCTCTAGTCCCATGTAAACCTTTACAAGGTAAGACTTGATGATCCCCTCCCCAGGTATTAATACAGGTCTCATCTGGACCTCGGGGTTCCCCTGTGACTCTAGCCATCCACTACACTGCTGGCCTCAGCCAGGCCATCTTACTGAGATTGCTCACAAGTCACTCAGTAACTGCAGATGGCTTCTCATGTCACCCAAAGTCACCATGAACTTTTAGAGCTGACTTTGACTGGTGCCTTACTTTCTACAAAATCTTGTTCTCTCTTCCCCACTTCCCTTCACACCACACCATGACTCTGCATGCCTGTTTTTCTGTAACTGTTGGACGTTTCATGAGATTCCGTGTCGGATTTCCTGCACTTCCTCCAGCTCTTGGTATTCTTCTTTCTGTGTTTCTTTCTACTTATGTTTCCTGTTTTTAACTCAGGCTTCTGTCTTTTCCATGAGACTATCTGGTGTGTACAGGGTTAGGAACACAGGCTCTAGGTTCAGAATATCTAGGTTTATCTTGCCTATTTGACCCCAAGCCAAATGCATACACAGTCTCTCTAGATTTCAGTCCTTTTCAGAAATGCGCAGATAGTGAGACTGCTCCCCAAGGGCAGGTGTGAGCACTAAGCCCACGACTGCATGAGTAAATGCTCAATAAGTGAGCTCTTAAAAATAAGGTTGTTTTATTGTGTCCTTTACCTCCTTTTTCCTGTCTTTCATTTCTCTTCCTTCTCTCTCTCCCTCAAATTATAACCATCTTCTCCTCCACATCTTACCACTTCCCCTCTTCTTTCCTCATATGCCTGCCTATGTCCTTGAACATTCCTGCTCTTGAACGGCATCCCCCTATATTTAAATCAGTCCCATTTTCTGTCTTCACCAAGGATCTCCTATGTGGTGTTGACCTTGTGCCCACAGTTCCTAGTCCTCCACAGCTTCACACTGATCTTCTCTTACAGGATTTTTCTAAATCACAATTACTACCAGGTCAGTATTCTTGTTAAATCTGGTTTCCTGACACTCTGGGTTCCTGTCTTGATTATTGGGCTCATGGTCTCCTGTCACAGCTACTTCTACAAGACTGACCTCTGGGCCGATGCTCGCACATATACCCACCGCTGTCTTCTCCAGGTTCCCTCTATGGTTCTCCCCAGATTCCCAAACCTTACTCTGGCCTCAGAGCCCACCTCCCTTTCTCCTTTCCTCTAAGCAGATAGAGAATCGGCTTTTTATCTGCTGCAATCACCTTGTTCAAGGTTTAGTTGAATACCAGATCTCCCTCATTTTCTTCCTCATCATTTTCCAGGTAATTGCTTATGTTTGATATCTCTGAGAGAAGGCAAGAGAAGAAGACAGTTAGAGATCTCCATCCAGAATAGTGACATCACCTCAAATTGCATGTTTCAGAATTTCCACGTGTGTTGTGGAGAATGTGATAATAAAACCTTTTCCCCTTCTTTAAAAGCAAGTTTGACTTTGAGTTAATGTTCTTGCTCATTACTCTGGAAACCTGATGAAGGTGGCCTCCTCTGTGTTACTAAGCCAACACTGGGTTTAGGGTAAAAAACGAGCAGTGACAGTATGTAGGGAGATTGCCTGTGACCTGGGAGGGACTAGGTATGAACTCTAAGCCATATTTGGTCTTCCTCCAATGTCATGACTCTTGTAAGTTAGCTCTTTCCTTTGGGGTTGCGGTAAGTTATGATTGTAGAGTTGTTACATGAGACACCGACTCCCATGGACATGGTGTGGCTAGGACATGGTGGATCCCACACTCATACCTAAGCTGTCACTCGAGGCAGGTAGTACGCCACTTGATGGACTGCTGTGTGGACCACTACAAAGGGTCTCACAGAAGAGCAGTGACTGACACCACCCTATAGGGATGTTATTTTTCTTGTCATTTGTTCTTCCAAGTAAATCTGATGCCACTGTGTCTCTGCATGTCCTGTGAGTCTAAATGCCTAGTTAAACAGACCACCTGGTGGGTGTTTAACTGTGTCCATTATGTTATAAGCTTTGAGAGGCTCATGCTATGTCTGCTTCTTAACTGCTGTAGCTCCACCACCTAGCACAGTGTTTGGCACATGGTAGGAACTCAGTATATACTTGTGGAAAAAAAATTGGCCATGGACATCAAAAAGTTAGTAATAAACCTAATTACCTCTTTTGAAGATTGTGTAACTGCGACGTAAATCAGGATAGTTCTTCATGATGGTATTGCTGAACAAATCACGCAGAAGGGGAAAGTCAAATGTCTCCTGCAGTTCAGTAAGAATATCATATACAGCTGCTGTTGCAGAAATTCGCATAAGCTTTGCTTGATACTCCTTAAAAAATAGAGAATGCGGAAAATATAAATACAGAACAGCCGCCAGATAGTGATTTTATTGTTAATGTATGACAATTTCCCTAGATAGTATCTTCTGATGTAAAAGTTTAGAATTTGTATATGTTTGTATGACTACTAAGTGGAACAACTAAATCTGTCTCCCTAGAAAACATCTGTTTGTGAATTTAATCTCCTTATCCTCATTTATAGTAGATAGAAGGAGGAACAATTTTGTAGAACAAAAATAGGTTCATGTTAAGTGATGTGTATCCCTTGCAGAGCCCAGCCAAATGTTTTAGGAATCGATTTAGCAGGTGATGTGCCGCTGTTCCTTTGACTGGAAAACACTTGTCCCTTCCCCAGGACAGACTCAGCCTAGAAGGGCTCAAGCAAGCCAGCTGATGATCTTTTCCTTCCTGTGAACTTTGCCATAAAGTAAGCATATTCATAGGGAAAGACAAAACTTGTACTCTGCATTTATGCTTAAGTTTTTTGCTAAAATTAGCAGAATTCTGATACTCCAGAAATACCAACAGAAAAGGAAAAATAGGAAAAAATGTCACCAGACATTTATTCTCTGGGGATTTTAATGTTCTCAATCTAAATATTTAAATTGATATTTATTGAAATGAAATGTTGTGACAATTATTATTTCATTAAATGAAATCATTAAGCTTATTCCTCCATTCATTAAAATTACTGTTTTTCCTAATTTGTGCTATATTATATACATAAATCCTACAAGGCATTATTCATGTGTGGATCCAACCTGTCTCCAGGGCTATTCACCAAACTCTGGGGGCACCACAGGGCACTATTCCCTTCAGTTAGGAGCAGGACTGTTTCCAGTAATGCCTGTTTCTCTTCTCCCCTTCTTAACTCTAGGAACACTTACAGCACTACATGAGAAGGTCCCCACTCACAGGAGACTCCTCAGTTGTCTGATTGTTCTCTGACATTTGACTTCAAATATATCAGAACAAAACAAAGTTTAGCGCTGTGTGCCAGATTGTGACAAAGTAAACCTCACTTACGTTATATTTTTCATTAGTGATAAATTCATGGTCCCGGAGCATTTCAAAGAAAGGAAATGGTCTTTCTATTGCAGTTGAAATTTCCACCTTATGCCTTTTGAAGAGCTTGCCTGCAGTCTCCTTGACACTGTTATATATGTCCTGGTCCTCTGCAGACATTCTGGAGAGAAAGGATACCATGACAAAATGGTAGAGCAATCTTTGGCGTAGGTCCCCACTTTTCACAACTTTGAATATTTCTTGGCAATCCCTTCTAGCCTCAAAAGGTTTTTTTTGAGAAATCAGCTGAGAGTTTTATTAGTTACATCCCCTGGACCTAATTCAGGTGTACATTTCTGCAACACATCATCCGTACATGGTATTGTGTGTTAACGACCCTAGTCAAGCCTCTGTCCATCACCATTCATCCCCCCCCCCATAACCCACCCCCCTTCCCCTGGCATGAGTTCTTCCTCTTTTTTTTTCTTTTTTTGCTCAATCCCTCCACCCTCCACCCAGCCACATACACCCAACAGCTGTCAACCTGTCCTTTATCTTTTTTGCTTGTTAGTTCATAAAGTATGACTTATGATGCCAAAGAAAATGGACCTGAACAGGCAACTTAGGGAAAAACTAAAATGTCCAATAAACATAAGTATTCATACAAGATAAACATCCCTTTTTGCCTACTAAATTGGCAAACACAACTTCATAAGTGACAAAGCAGCGATGGAGAAGATTCAGAGAAGCAGACGTTCATTGCTGGTATGAGCAGAAATTGCTAAAGACTTTACTGAAAACATATTGCAATAAATTCAAAGATAGAGTCCATATTGGTCCAGTAGTCACCCCACTTTGGGAACCTAGCCTATGGAAATAAAAAAACACCAGTTTGCAACTTACAGAAACTAGAGTTCCAGAACTTTCAGTGGTACCTTATTTCCCCCTCAGAAGAAAGACAAGTTCTTACAGTACTCAAGGGGCCCGAAATAGTCCAGCTCTTCTCCCCTGTCCCCTAGCTCACTTCCTCTGGCCAAACCTGCCTCTCTGCTGTTCCTTGACTACACCAGGCACACGTGAGCCCTAGAAACTTAGTGCTGTCTCCCCTGCATAGAGTGTTCTTTGTTCAGATACCCATTTAGTGAACTAACTGCCTCATCTCCTTAAGGTCCTTGTTCCATGTCACCTTCTCAATGGGACCTGCTTTGACCAATTTATTTGAAATAAAAACTTCAGCTCCTTCACCCTGACCTTATAGTCCCAATTCCTAATTTAGCTCCTTCCGTTTTCTTTTTTTTCTCTACCATGTCTTAGCCTTCCCTAACATATTAAATTAATTACTTCTGTATTTCATTTAAAATTTATTTTCTTACTGTCACTCTTCCCCCTAAATATACATATGCCATTAAGACAGAGATTTTCATTTGTTTTGCCCATTGATTTTCTTGACTACTAGGCACATATATCACAAGTAAATATTTTTTATCAGATACCTGTAGGTACAAAAGCATTTATTGAAGCATTGTTTCAATAGCAAAAACCAACAATAAAAACTTAATATGACCACCAAACCTGAAAACAATATGATTTTCCTTCAGATAAATGGTTTAATATATTATAATAAATACATACTAGTGGAGTATTACATACCTATTTCCTTTTAGTAATTTGGATGGGATATCATGGGGGTTTTTTTTTACAAAATTGATTACAAGAGTAAACATTTATTTTGAATAATAAGTTACAACAACTTATAAATTCTTAAAAATCAGGCAAATACTATAACCATAACATCTGAAAGTAACATAGATTTGTACAAGTTAGCTGCCTGAAACAACTCTCAAATAGTTCACCCTTACCTTTTTTACTTCTTTTTTTAAATTTTATTGTTGTTCAAGTACAGTTGTCTGTGTTTTTCCCCCATCCCTCTCTCCCACACCAGGCAGCCCTACCTCCCTCCCCCTGATTCCACCCACCCTTGGTTTTCTCCATGTGTTCCTCACCTTCAGGAACAACTGTTCCTGAAATCTCATCCCCTCCCCTCCCATCATCCTCTTTCACCTCCCCTCTGGTTATAGTCAGATTGTTCTTGATTTTAATGTCTCTGGTTATATTTTGCTTGCTTGTTCATTTTGTGGATTAGATTCCACTTAAAAGTGAGATCAAGGAGAAGATCATAGTTTTATAGATGAACAAAAATATCAAGTTCAGATTAATATATTATGGCCTCATTTTTATATAAATCAAAGTACTAAAATCTTATGGGTAAACTTTGAAACAAATGTTAGAAAATGTGTGGAATGTCACATTCAAGGCTGTTAACACTGGCTTAGTGACAAGTGTCAGGTTCCACCCAGGACCCTTCAAAACCTTCTTTCAACTTTTTTTTGGCAACATCAGTAGAAATAGAAATAATAGGTCCAACATAACAAGACTTTAAGCATATTTAACACCTCACAGCTTATAAAATAATATTGTTTTTATAAAAGAACCAGGAAACATAAAATTTTAAGAATTGGGTTCTCAAATTGAAAATAAAGTAAGGCAAAGAATTAAATTCTTAGAAAGAATCAAACAAATGGAATGCAAGACTTGCACAGAAAAGTATAAAACATTGTACAGAAAAATTAAACGTCTAAATAAATAGAGACATTAAATATTTTAGATTGGAAAACTCAATATTCTTTTTTAAATTTGTATTTATTGACTTTGGGGGGGGCAAGGGGAAGAGAAAGAGAGGGAGCAAAGCATCCATGTGTGGTTGCCTCCTGATTGGCCCCTACTGGGGATCTGGTCTGCAACCCAGGCATGTGCCCTGACTAGGAACTGAACTGGTGATTCCTTGGTTCACAGGCCCAAGCTCAATCCACTGAGATACACCAACCAGGGCCCCCACAGGTTTCTTCAGTCAGAGACTTCCATATACAGAGCCACAACACAATGATGTAGGTTGCCCTGACCTGACAAATACTTGAGGTTCCACCCCTTATAAAGTAACAGGTACACTGAGACAAAAAATATGGCTCAAATGAAAGAAGAGATCAAAGCTCCAGAAAAAAATACAACTAAGCAAAGAAGAGGTAGACAACCTGTCAGATGCAGAGTTCAAAACACTGATAATCAGGATGCTCACAGAAATTGTTGAGTATAGTCACATAATAGAGGAAAAAGTGAAGGCTATGAAAAGTGAATTAAAGGTAAATGTACAGAGAACCAACAGTGAAGGGAAGGAAAGTGGAACTCAAATCAATGGTTCTTACCAGAAGGAAGCAATAAACATTCAACTAGAACAGAATAAAGTCAGAAGAATTTAAAACTACGAGGAGAGGCTTAGGAACCTATGGGACAATATTAAGTGCTCCAACATCCAAATCAGGTGGATGCCAGAAAGAGAAAAGGAAAAGCAAAAAATTGAAAACTTACTTGTAAACATAAGGAAGGAGAACTTCCCTAATCTGGCAAAGGAAATAGACTCCCAGGAAATCCAGGAATCTGAGAGAGTCCCAAAGAAGTTGGACTCAAGGAAGCACAAAGCAAGGCACATCATAATTACATCACTCAAGATCAAAGATAAGGAGAGAATCTTAAAAGCAGCAAGAGAAAAGGAGACACACACAAAGGAGTTCCCTTAAGACTATCTGCTGATTTCTCGAAAGAAACCTTGCAAGCTAGAAGGGTCTCGAAAGAAGTATTCAAAGTCATGAAACGCAAGGACTACCACCTAGATTACTCTATCCAGCAAAGCTATCATTTAGAATGGAAGGGCAGATAAAGTGCTTCCTAGATAAGGTCAAGTTCAAGGAGTTCATCATCACCAAGCATTATATGAAATGTGAAAGGGACTTGTCTAAGAAAAAAGATAATCAAAACTATGAACAGGAAAAATGACAGCAAATTCACAACTATCAACAACTTAACATGAAAAAAAACAAAAACAAGAAACTAAACAAACAACTAGAACAGGAAGAGAATCACAGAAATGGAGATCACATGGAGGATTATCAGTGGGACAGGGGAGGGAATGCAGGGGGGAAAAGGTACAGGAAATAAGAAGCATAAATGGTAGGCACAAAATATACAGGGGAAGGTTAAGAATAGTATAGAAAATAGAGAAGCCAAAGAATTTATATGTACAACCCATGGACATTAAATAAGGAGGAGTGGGAATCTAGGCAGATGTGGTGTGCAGATTGGAGGCAAATAAAGTGAAAGAAAAAAATGGGACAACTGAATAACATAATCAATAAAATATACTTAAAAATAAAGCCATAATCTGAGAAATGAGAGCAAATCAATGACCCCATCGATCAATGACTATAGGTTGCTGGTGCAGTAGGGAGAGTTTTTAAAAAATCTCAATACCCTCCACTTGCATGTGCTATATCACTTTCTGCTGATAAAACCTGAAAGTTGGCAAAAGCATTTAAATGTTATTAATCATTTAGGAAATGAAAACAGTATAAGGATTTATTACTTTGGTGAAGGGGAAGGAGAAACCAGGGAGTTATCACAGAAGCCACATTTGACTTCAAGGCATTTCTTGATCCTAGAGAACCAGATCCTTGGGTTTGACAACCTTAGTATGTGAGGGACAGAAACAAAGTCCAGGCCACACAGGATGGAGAGTCCAATGGGAATCCAGATGAAATGAATGGAGGGCTTGGGCTTGTGCCCTCAGGTACCTTGATGTAGCAAAAGAAATCCTGCCCAAAGGCTCATGCCTTCACTGCAGGCCTAAATTTTACCCATAAGTAAGTTTTTCAAGTACAATTGAGGATACAGCCAAAATCAACCAGCAAAAGGATCTCTGTGAATAAGTGTGGAGAGGAAAACATAACAAGTTTGCAAAAGAAGCCTGGCGATCACCACCTTAACCAAGTGATCAAGGTGAACAACCCTGGTGATAAGTCAGGCTGACATCTCCCCTGACAGAAGGGATGAGAAGGGCACTTCTCCTCAGGGAGTTCTTTCCTGAAACCCGTAACACCAGACTGAAAGAATCAAGATTAACCAAAACTGAGGAATACTTAACAAAATGCCTGAATAGTACTTTCCAAACCCCAGGGTCATGAAAAACAAGGAGAAACTGAGGAACTGTCACAGACCATAGAATAGGTGACAGGATGACTGAGGGCAACGTGGTATCCTGGAGTCAATCCTGGAACTCAACAAGGACTTTAA